ATCTCGCTCGTCTCTCTCCTCCCTCTCTCAATCTCGCTTGCCATATATACAAATGCATATGTATAATATACAATTATCTAACCGATATACATATACAATTCACCTCTCTCCCACTCTTTGCCCTCTCTCGCTCGCCTCTCTCCTCTCTTTTCCAGTCTTGCTCGCCTCTCTCCTACCTATAACATGTAGCTACGAATTGTAATTATCAAACTATAGCTATGGGATAAAAATTTTGTATCTTGTTTTGTTGCCATGTTTGAGATAACTTATCCCACCATTTATATCATATTGATGGGACAAGTTATCTCATATACATGATGGGATAAGTTATCCCAGGATAGCTAACCTCAGAATACAGGATAGCTAACCCCAAAATAACTAATCTTGTGATAACTTGTTCCCAACCAAACGACCCCTTAAAATTCTTTAATAATATTTTTACCAAATAAATTGTACATTGAGAAACAAAGGGTGAAAAGAAATTGGTGAAATTAAATGAAACTTCTTACTCTATAAATAATTTCCATCACCAATTTATTTCCTCGATAATCCAAAAAGTATTTCTAAAATGGCTTTTGATTAAATTTTTTATAGTGTTATATGCATATTTAACAGACTAGCTAGAATTTTAATTTGTAATCTAATTTTTAAGCTATACAATTATCAACATGAATTATGGTGGAATAGTTGGAATCTTTGTCTAATAGTATTGAAAAAATCTTTTTGGAAGTGCATTTTGTAATGGTGGGAAACAAAAAAAAATGGCAGGTTAAAATTTTCATAAAAAAGTTGGTTGTCGATTTTTTATCAATCATTAAGTACATAGTTTTAGAATTTCACTATTTTATGAAAGTACGATTGATGTAATTATGATTGTAAGTCATAGGTAATTATCAAATTTACAGTTAATTCTACTTCTTAATTTTTTCTAATTCACTTCAATTTAAAATAATCATATTTCTAAAGTTGACTTTGAAGATTCTCTTCAAATATACTTTGAATGTCCTTTTAGATATTTGAAGCTTGAAATAATTCCAGTATCAAATAATTAAATTTAAAAAGAAATTATCTTAACTAAAATTTCAAATGCCTTTGTGATATTAATTATTTATAGCTATTTTTAAATTAAAAATTATATGAGATACTATATAAATAAAATTGATATTGTAAATAAAAATGATATTGTAATTGACATATTCAATCAAGTGAAATTAATTTTATTCTAAAATATTTTTACTACATCTAGAATAACTTAATAGCTTTTAGGACAACTAACTAAACTGAAAAAAGTTTTCAAAATTAAAATCTATAACAACTTACCTAAGATATAAACACTTGTAATATTATGTGACGGACAATAATTATATATATGTCTATTCTTGTTTTTAAAAATTTACTGAAATTTTTATATTGTCAATAAAAAGTTTTAAAAAATGTTATCAAAATATTCTAAATTTAGCTTTAACACATCTCAATTGAGCTCAGAGTATCATTAATATAGATGGTTGCATGAGGGAAATATAATAATAATTATCTCATTTCTTTGATATGACAACATGAGACGAGGGAATTGGCCTGCTGATTATTGGCTGGTGGAGGATCCTTCGTCGGAGCATTGACCGGCTTCGGCGGTGCAGGAGCGTTATTGTTAGCTCTGTCATATAAAAAACAAGTAAATAATTATTAAAATATGGTGACTTACTGGAGTTGAATCTGTAATTGTTTGAAGACTTATTAGAGCTAAATATACACGGCGACGCCATTGCCTCTGTGTGCTAGATGTTTGTTGATAACGACGACATTTTTATGTAAAACTTCAAAGCTCGCAACTTTGTTGGTCAACCATGCTAATGTAATACAAGGATCGATCTTGAGTATATATACTGGATTGGTATGGACTCATAGCGACAGATGCATGCATACATCATACTCATAATTATATATTAGTAATATATAATATAATATACAGAATAATATACACTTTTTTTTTACATAGGTAGCTAATGAAACTATTTTTGGACGACCGGATAAATATGTAATGTTTACCAGTTGTGCAGCTTTAAATTGGGCTCTTCTCTTCTATTGGGCCATTTGCATAATTGTATGAATCCAACAATTGTAGAGATTCGTAAGAAAAGAAGAAGAATCATAATTATTTACTTTTTTTTTTAGTAGATTTTTAATTCTAAATAAACCTTTTATAAGTTTTAAGGAAAAATGATTGCAAGTTAAAAGAGAGAGCTGATAACAAATATTTTCAATATTTTAAACAAAAATAATTTATATTGGGAAGGTAGAAGAGAGTGATGGGAACAAATATTTTCAACATTTTAAATAAAAATAATTTGAAAGGACAGACTAGTGTGAATAAAAATTTGCTTTCCTATTTTCATGTAAAATACACGTGTAGGCTATTACATAGGGAAAATTAGCAAACTAGTCACAATCCGTAATATAATTATTAAAAATATCTATACTTTAAAATAATTATTAAAAATGTCAATATGTCAATTTTTAGAAGGCAAAAGTACTCATTATCCCCCTGAACTTGAAGCTTTTTATACGGTGTACACCTAAACTATATTCCGTTTTAATTACCCCCGAACTTGTTTATTCCTCCGTCGCGTACACCTTTTTCGTCCACCTGGCGTAGAAATTGACAACAATCTCTACTAGGCGCGTGAGGAAGTGATTTTTTGCCACATCATAACGCTACAGCGATAAAAAAAAAACGTAAAATCTTCATTTTTCTTTAATATTTGGCATATTTTAAACGAAAAATAGGGTAAAATGTAAATGAAAAGTAAAGGAAACAAAGATTAACACTTACTTGGTAAGAATTTCAGACAAATTTGAAATTTAATCGACCAACTTCACGTCTAGAAAAACCCAAATCCAAAAGGAGTTCCGCGAAATCAGCCCTTATTCAAAAATAACTTTTAAACAATGAATTTTAAATTTAAGAAATTTATTTTTTGCAATATTAATTTATCCAGGTGGCTATTATTTATCCAGGTGGAAATCCCCATCACCAATTTAGACAGCTGTCGCGCGCGTGTAGTCCCAACAGGAGTAGGTGGACGAAAAAGGTGTACGCGACAGAGGAATAAACAAGTTCGGGGGGGTAGTTAAAACGAAATTTAGTTTAGGTGTACACTGTATAAAAAGCTTCAAGTTCAGGGGGTAATGAGTACTTCTGCCTTTTTAGAAAATAAAAAGTATCCTATTATAATTAATTTTCTTTCCTTTTATTTCTCAAATCAGACTCACATTCGACCATTTTTTTACTCCACTATTGAGTAAAAAGTAAAAAAAAAAAGGGTAAATTAGCAAACTAGTCACAATCATGACATAATTATTAAAAATATCTTCACTTTAAAATAATTATTAAAAATGTCAATATGTCAATATTTTAGAAAATAAACAGTATCTTAATATAATTAATTTCCTTTCCTTTTATTTTCTCAAATCAGACCCACATACGACTATTATTTTATTCCACTATCGGGTAAAAAATAAAAAAAGAATACTCCATTACCCATTTACCCCTCTTTTTAGGTTTTACCCAAATCAATCTTTTTTCTCTCTTCCCTTTTTTGTCATTATTATCTCCTTTTCTTGCTCAAGAAAATCATCTCTTCTAATTTCCTACATTTTGTTCAAGAAATCTCACAATTAATTCAAAAGATTTTTCACCCATTGATAAAGGTAAATTCGAAGTCAGCAAGTATTTTGTGAGATTTCTTATGAATATTGAAAGTGTTGCTAAAGGGTCCTATTAAATGCCAAAATATTGACATTTTGAATTTTTTTTCAATAATATAGAAAATTTAAAAATAGCAAAGTAATTTATATTAGACATAATAAGAGCATCACAACTAGAATTCAGAAAACGTTGGCAATAGTAGAACTACTTTATCAGGAAACCACAACGGAAAAATATTTTAGAAGACTCGAATAAATAAATTTTCCCCAAATTTTCGAAGGCCGGCCATTGGAAGCCAGAACATTATTCATCGGAATTAAAGGCCGACGGGATTCTCAATTGGTACTCCATATAATATTTCTTCATTCCCAAGAAATATTATTTAATAAATTTCTGTCCATTTAAATTAAGACACTTAAATTGATGCCTATGGAAGACGTACTTTTTTTTGTTTTTTCATGGTCCTAGGGGTCGTTTGGTAGAGTGTATTAGAAAAAATAACGCATGCATTAGCATTGTGTATTACTAGTACCTTGTTTGGTACTCTTTTCCAACTTATGAATAATTATAATAAGAATAATTATAATAATTTAATTATAATAGTAATAATGTGGGGGTATTTTTGTAAACAAATATTTTTAATAGTCTTTATACAAGGCTTGCTATTTCCAATACATCAAACCAAACAATGTATAAGAAATAATGCAAGCATAACTAATGCAAGCATTACTAATGCTTGCATTACTAATGCATGCATTACTAATACATCATATTCAGCATTATTCTTATACACTCTACCAAACGACCCCTTAAATACATTCCCATTTACCTTCTTTTAGGCACAATATTTGAGTTGAGTTAACAAGTATGGCTGTAATTCCACTACTGAAGGCCCTAGTGCTTTTACAACTTTTAATGTTGGTCGTTATTAGCTCTTTCTCAGAGCTAAGTCTTATAGAAGGTATGAGATTGAGAAGTTTGCCTGATGCAAGTGATTTTTATAAATGGGAGTTTCCTTTCTTTTGGAAATCACCTTCTCCACCGCCACCATCTCCTCCACCAGCGTTACCAGCTCCTCATAAACCACTTGTGGGACAAACACCGCCAGATATGCTGTGAGAAAGGGAGAAAGTAATAAGAAAAAAAAAATGTTCACTATTCAGAACTAATATTAGATGTGGATTTTGAATTGTATGCCCTAAATTAAGTCTTGCGAAAATTAAACGTACTAAGTGGTTATTTAACGAGAGACTGAATGGTTGTACTAGAATTTGAATCTCTAAATATAGCTTTGAGTCAGTTAAGGCTTTATATGTGTTACTCTATCTCCCTGTTTCAATTCAATTGACCTATTTTCTTATCTTTCACGAAACATGTTTAACACTACTAGATTAAGTGTCAATTTAGTACATTTGACATAGCTTTAATTTTAGAACACAAAATTCAAAAAAAAAAAAAAAAATTTCTTAAACTCGATTCTAAGTCAAAATAGATTTACACAAATTGAAACGGATGATGTTTTATTTTATTTTTATTAAATCACCAAACATAATAGTTTTGAGCTTAGTACTGAAGTTAGTGTGTTTTATTTTATTTTTTATAAAGCAAATTACATAATTTACGGGGCCATGCGGGTCCTTTTTTCTGCTTATTATAAATTGTGCACATAAATCTTCCATGGTCAAAAATATATTACATAGTACAAGATAGGGAACTTCTCTTTTTCGCTGTTATACTTTATTATTTGAGGGTGCTAAGCTTGGTCTAATTTATTCATCGTTATATTTTCGGACATAAAATTCAGAAATTGGTAGGATTTGAACTTTGAAATCTCTCTCTATATATATTACACTGTAATTTTTTTTCAAATAGGATTGGGTGATGAACACCCTCACGCCCTTTGGATCCTCCATGCATAACAATATTAAAAAGTAGGTTATCTTTGTTAATTTCAACAACATATAACTATAGTAATTTTAATTTCTTGTCTTTGTATTATTTTCTTTTATGTAGAATGAAATCTTTTCTTTTTTTTTAATAAATAACTTCATTATATTATTTTATAATCTACACAACTTTGCAAAGCTGAATCCCAAAAAATTTCTATATAATAGCTAGAGAAATAGAAAATTTTGCTAGATTATGAGCTAGTAATATATTCATATTTGAAGAATATATAAAATATTGATATCTTCAAAAGAACATATCAATTTTCAATCTATTTTGCTGGATAAATCGTTAACTTCTTTTGTAACATTTGCACCACATTCTTTGTATCTGATAAGATATGAATTCTTGCCCAACTATTTTATAAAGATCGTTCCAAAGCCCTACGAATTGCTAGCACTTTGATAGTCGTTTTGGCTTTCCCTACAAACTGAATAAGGATGCCAAGGATATGAAGTAAATATCCATAACTACCCATAGCCGTTACTTCAATGCTTGTTTTTTCCTTCCCCCTTTGTAAACTTGTATCTATAGAAAAAGAAACATATCAACTTTAAATTCTTGTGAAAGAAATAGTAACGAGCTAGAGCACTTACAAGTGGCGTCAATTAAAATTAGAGAGAAATTAATTAGTATTGTCTGTTTTAAGAAAAAGCAAAAGCAGAAAAGAAAAACAATCCCATGTCTAATGTTCCATCATTTTAATTTTATGCCAACTGATAAATTCTTACGACATGGCTTCTGTATATGCTCATGGCCACGTCCAATGTTTGATCAAATCTCTTTTACGGGGATATATGGTTTATTTACTGTTAATTAAAGTAAGATCAAAGTGTAATACTAAAGAATAATCAGTAATAATATACATTTTTAACATAAAAATCAAAACAAAGATAATTAAACAGTTCTTCTGAACCAAATTAATTAGTGTAAAGACTCCAAATTTTAATTACTAGTACTTTTTTTCTTGCGCTTCATAACAACTTTCTTGAAGATTTTGAAAGAAATGCGTAATTTAGAAGAACTAAATAGTACAAAATATTACTGACAAGTGCAAAATGCGATTAAGAAAGTAAATTAAGTTGGTGATTATTTCTCTTTGGCAAAATAGATTGATATTTGGATTGTCATTCTGCTTACTATCTGTTTTACATAAATATATCATTTAAAATGGCTTCATTTCATATTCATGCCCTTCAGCTTCGGGAGCGCATGAATAAACACTTAAACTTCTATAAATTTAAACAAATAGACACACGCGTCCTACGTGTTATCCAACATGGCTATTTTGCATCTTACATGGTGTTCTACGTGAATTATGTCACAGGACTCATGTATCTACTTGTTCAACTTTACACAAGTTCAAGCATCTATTTGTCACACCCGGAATTAAAGGGTATAAATGTGAAATGAGAACAAGTCAAATGATGAAATATTTATGTATTATGCGGCCAAATATTTTACTTGCGAAAGAGCGTGAAACTGTGGGGAAATATTTCAGATATGCGATTAAAAATCCAGCGTCATAAAAAAATTGTACTAACAAAATCATAAAATTTCCAAAATTCACGATAAATTGACAATTTTAGTCATAAAATCATGATCACAAAGTATAGTTATAGATAAGATAATATTCTATATCAAACATCATCTATGTGTAATTAATTATATTAATATTCAGCCAGAGGACTTGTTTAATTTTGTAGTGTATGGTTTTAAATATTTCTTTTTTATTTTCTTAATAATGTTTCATTATCATTAAAATAAAATTGAGAACCTTCTCTCTCTCCTAGCTTTGTATAAATTCATTCACAATTTGACATCCTTGAAATGAGGTGATTAATTAAGTTAACAAGTATGGTAGTTATTTCAGGGAAGTCCCTGCTAATACATTACCTTTTAGTTCTACTAGTCTCTTCATTCACAAAGCTCACCCATGTAAAAGGCTTTGACCTTGGTGATCTATTCGATTTCCCCCCTGATCCATTCCCTTACAATTATGATTATGAACAATCTCCAGTTCCCCGGGTGATCGAGCCAAGATTACAGGTTTGGCCACCACCTCCGCCATCACCACCACCACCACCTCCACCATCACCACCATCACCACCACCGCCTAAACAGTCACCACCACCACCCTCAACAGACTCATTTTTCATTCCTCCTTTTGTCATCCCCCCTATTGATATTCCTCCTCTAATTCCTCCTCTATTACCCGTCATCTCATCTATTATTAACCCAATAACATCATCACCACCACTTCTTAAGTCACCTTCCCAATGTAAGCCTGATAAATCTATAAAGCTAACACCACCTCCACCAGCAAAGCAACCACCAGTTAAGGCACCACCACCACCTCCTCACGCACCATCTCCATCACCAGCAAGACAGCCAACTCCACCACCAGTTAAGGCACCATTTCCATCACCAGCAAGACAACCAACTCCACCACCAGTTAAGCCACCATCTCCATCACCACCACCACCACCGCCACCACTTTCTAAGAAATCTCCTCCACCAGCTCCTCCTCCATCAATAGCTAATCCACCAATTATGGCACCATCTCCATCACCAGCTCCTCATCCACCTGTAATAATAGCCCCATTTCCATCCTCACCAGTAGCGAAACCACCCGTTATTCCACGTCGACCAGTTAAGCCTATTCTACCTCCATCTCCCGCCGTCAAAACTCTAACGGTGAATGGGATTGTTTACTGTAAACCCTGCAATAGCTATGGAGTTCCCAATCTCCTCAACGCTACCCCACTCCAAGGTAATTAACACACTTTTTTCTCCAAAATTGCCACATATATACCTTAATATTTGAAAACTTATATTCATCGTTTAATATCTTTTGAAATTTACTAAATTTTCATCCTTATGCTAATTAATACTACTATTCTTGCAGGAGCTTCTGCGAGACTAGTTTGCTACAACGGGAAGAATGCAATTGTTCAATCAGCCATAACAGACAAGAATGGTGAGTTTCGGCTCACGCCCAAATCATTAATCGGAGCAGATATCGGCAAGTGCAAGGTATATTTAGTGAAATCACCAAATCCCACTTGTAATGTCCCAACAAACTTCAATGGCGGAAAAACAGGTGCTCTATTGCAACATGTCGTACCCCCTAAGCCACCGATTGTTACCCCTGCAGTGATTGTCCCCGTACAACCACCCATGTCTGATTTATATGGAGTTGGACCTTTTATTTTTGAAGCATCAAGCAAAGTACCATGCGCTATGCATAGAAAATTATAAGAGCATTGTTCAGTCATGGAAAACAAAGGATGGTAGCATTATTGAACAAGTAAAAATACACTAATTCCTCTATCAGTCCCATCTTATGCGACGCGGTTACTATTCAGAGAGATATAAAACATAAAAAAAAAGTTTAAGGGCATTGAGCTATGAAAAATAATTTTTTTTCTTTTGTTTTCTATACACAGTTAAGAGAAAAAAACTTTATATACAGATATAAAAAAATCAAATGAGTAATATATACAAGTCAAAATTATATATGAAAAGTTGAAGTGTTGATGTTGTCAAAGGAGAAATTGTTTTAACATGAAATCTATATGTTCAAATATCTCCGACACATTTACGATATAGTCCATATTTTGGGAGATGATAAAGTATTATTAAGTCAATTTGGACAATTGATAATCCCAATTAGAGGTGGTAAAATTAACTCATAAAAACATAATTCTATCAATTATTTATACACGTGATAGAACAAATAAAGCAATCAAAATTCAATAAAAATTGGGCGAGTTAGCATAGTAACTTTACGAAGGATCAATAACTCGCTTATTTATTAACTTGCAACACATTTTGAATCCTTCAAAATTAAATCCGTCCATTTGCCACCTTTTTTCTCAATCGACAATCAATACCAAAAATTCTTGACATGGGATTAATTCAAAACTTTAAAGTAGATTTTAAATTTTGAAACATATAAACTAAAATACAAAAACTTTCTTACCTTGCATTATAAGGAGAGCTGGAAAAAAAAGACAGACAGATGCACTAAGCTTTTACTATGTGCGAGATTCGAAAATAGAGTCAGATTACGTACAAAGATTTATTTACAGTTTTACCCTGCATTTGCATTTCAGCAAGAATGAATGTATACAATGGAGTAAAATTTCTAATGACATAATTGATCCGCAACGAAATGCATGTGAGCATCTATTTTCATACTAGATAACTTTGTATTACAACATTATTTTCTACGAGAAAAGAAAAAAAAAACTAAAGAAATTTATCAGATTCAAAATTTGACATTTATGATTTAGGGATATCATTAATCTAATTGAATTTGAAATTTTATATTTATAGGTAGTCAATAATATTTTTATCACATATATAAAATTTTAAATAACTTACAATATATTCCTAAATGTGTATATACTCATGAGATACTTTTGTATTCCTCGCATTGACGTATGCCTACAAAAATTAATTGTAATTCATGTTTTATAAGAAGAGAAGAATATTAATATGTCCCTCACAATATTCTTAGTCCTTCTACTCACAGTGTTCTTTTAAATTTGATTTCAAGCATCCACAGTCATACAAATTACACATTGTATCAGAGAAAATCAAAATCAAAATCAAAACCAAAACCGAAAAGATTATTCTGTCGTATTAATGACCTATTGAACATTGATTACTGTGTAATTTAAAGAACCAGCAAAATGAGAAAAGAAAAACAATGTCATGTCAAATGTTTGGTCATTTGTAAGCCAACTAAAATACTCTCATCACATGGCTTATTCCGCCAGTGAAAGATAACGTCCATGCCCCCATGTTTGATCAATTTTTTGCTATGGTGATTGAGTTCTTTCTGTAGAAGTGCAGGTCCTAGAATGTTAGAGAGTATAAAGGATATAACAAAATTAATTAATTAATTAATTACCAGAATTCAAATAATTAATAGATGCAAATATAAAGCTAAAGAAAACAATTATGCACATGTTAAGGTAAGTGCAAAATGCAAGTAACTTGATAATTAATTATTTACTTGTTGAATCTTGTGTTGTCATCAAACTGAATCCGGTTGAATAAAACGTTAACTTTTTATAAACAGAAAAATATTGCATGAGAAGTGTTAACAACGTATAAATCTCCTGCTAAGAAATATTTGTCCTTCTCACTCCTTCCCCATTAAAACAAACTTTAGAGGAGACTAATTAAAACATTAGGTTTACACTACTAATTTTAAGAAAGCAATATCACCATATATGTATAATTTAACCTTGTAGCATGTGGACATTGATGATGTAAGATACATTATTATTACCAATAAAGCTAAGCCAAGAGGTCTCAAGTTTGAGTCATTTTGATACGAAGTCGCTTTTGTTAAGAAGTTTAACACACGTATATGAATATGTGTATCACCTTTTCATTTATTTTCTTTATTATTGTGACAAAATTCGTACATATATGGCTTATGAAGCTCCTATAAATTCATTCTCACCTTACTTCATTTTACATGAGTTGATTTGAGGTAACAAATTAAGTATGGCTTTTACGTCAGTAAAGGCCATAGTGCTCATACAAGTATTAGCATTAGTAGTTGCCTCTTTCTCAGAGCTCAGCTTTGGTGAAGTCACTGAAAATTCGTCATTAGACAATCATGAGGACAATGAAATCATCTCAACCAAAGGGTTCGGGTTTGGACGCCTTCCTAAGAGAAGTCCCTCTACCCCTACACCTGTTAAACGGCCATCACCTTCACCATCACCACCAGCTAAGTCGTCACCACCACCATCACCACCAGCTAAGTCACCACCACCACCTTCACCTTCACCACCACCACCGTCACCACCGCCACCACCAGTTAAGTCACCACCACCACCATCACCGCCACCACCAGTTCAATCACCTCCACCGCCATCACCACCACCACCACTAGCTCAATCACCTCCACCACCACCAACAATACCACCACCAGCACCTCCACCACCAGCTCAATCACAAAAACAAACACCTCCACCGCCACCAACAATACCACCACCAGCACCTCCACCACCAGCTCAATCACAAAAACAAACACCTCCACCGCCACCAACAATACCACCACCAGCACCTCCACCACCAGCTCAATCACAAAAACAAACACCTCCACCGCCACCAACAATACCACCACCAGCACCTCCACCACCAGCTCAATCACAAAAACAAACACCTCCACCGCCACCAACAATACCACCACCAGCACCTCCACCACCAGTTCAATCACAAAAACAAACACCTCCACCATCACCAATTGCTCCGCCACCAGCTCAATCACAAAAACAAACACCCCCACCGCCACCAACAATACCACCACCAGCACCTCCACCACCAGCTCAATCACAAAAACAAACACCTCCACCGCCACCAACAATACCACCACCAGCACCTCCACCACCAGTTCAATCACAAAAACAAACACCTCCACCATCACCAATTGCTCCGCCACCAGCAATCCAACGTGCACCACCAGCTACTCAGCCACCAATAAGCAGACCGCCGCAGCCATCACCACCTACTCAGCCACCAATAAACAGACCGCCGCAGCCATCACCACCTACTCAACTTCCAATAAGGAGACCACCACCATCACCACCAGTTACTCAGCTACCAATAAGGAGAACACCACCGCCATCACCACCACCAACTAATAAACCACCTATCAGGTCATCACCACCACCACCAACTGATTATGATGAGCCGCCAAACATCGAGCCACCCGTTGATCAGGAGCCACCACCCGTTTCTCATGAGCCTCCATTTGTTGAGCCACCACCAACTAATCAACCACCTATTGAACCATTTCCACCAACTCTAAGTCCCCCATTTATTCCACGAATCACACCGCCGGTTAAACTTCCACCGCCGACAATTCATCCCGCCGGAAAGCCACTAATTGTCGTCGGCCATGTTAATTGCAAATCTTGCAGTAGCAGAGGGCTTCCTTCTCTCTTTAAAGCCTCCCCACTGCACGGTTATTTCACTACCCTTATTTCTCTTCATTACTATATTCTCATTCTATTTGCATTTACTCAAACACAAAAAGTTACTAAAACAGTGCCACATACAATAGAACCGAGTTGACGGGTTGTTGATCCGCCAATTCATTACCTCAACTCATTTTAATCTAACCCATTTCAATTCGTTCAAAATTGGATTGATATGTAATCCGATTTGGCTAATGAGAAATCTTATCAGAATATTTTTAAAAAATATTTTTTCAATTTGATATGTTATATATAGTCATAATAAAGAAAAAAATAATTTTCTTAGATACTAAAATAGTTTAAAAGAATAAATAAAACAATTAAGTTAGGTAAAAATTGGATTGACATATTATATTATCCATTATCTAATCTGTTTTTATCCAAACAAATTTAGATTAGATAGGATCTTGACCCGATTGTTATCTTAACCTAATCCACCCAAATTTGACTCAATCCGCCCAATTGCCCCTACCTACACTAGTCAAACTTAAATAATTTTGGATTGAGAATTGGGACCAGGATTCTTAATTTATGTGATTCGAATTACAATCATTTTTACTTACTCAGTCGAACTGTAGTTAAAATGACTAGCTCTGCTCCTGGTTGGACTGCCCCGAAAATTGTATGTATATGTACCGAGAAAGAGCCGTTTGAATTGGCTTAAAAAAAATAGTTTTTAAGTCAAAAAATAAAAAGCAAAAAAAAACTTATTTTAAGTTATTTTTAACCTTGTCAAATACTTCATTACTTATTTGCCAAACACTTCACAAATCAAAAACTGACTTAAAAATATCTTAGTATCTTCATTGTCTTTTGCAATTATTATGATTCATGAGCTTATTACATTTAAAATTAACAATGGTTGTGTGGTTTATATACACTACAGGAGCTTCAGTGAAGCTAGTGTGTCACAATAATGGAAGGAAGGCAAATGTTCAAACAGCATTGACAGACAAGAATGGTGATTTCTCTATCACACCCATTTCTTTAGCCAGAGCAGATGTACACAAATGCAGAGTATACTTAGTGAAATCACCCAAACCAATTTGCAATGTGGCAACAAATTACAATAATGGAAAATCTGGTGCTGTATTGAAACCTATCCTGCCACCTGGTAATCATGGCCCAATGTTTGATTTCTTTGGTGTTGGGCCTTTTATATTTGAAGCCCCCAACAAATTCCCATGCAGAAAGTAAAAATGGAGCTCTGGAGTACTTAGCTAGGAAAATAAAAGTATGAAAGGATTTGAGTTTCTCACGGAAAATACTTTTA